AAGTTAAAATATATGGATATCATGCCACTATCAATAAGTCTAGCCATATGTAGATATGAGATTGATGGTTATATAGCAAGATTTGAAGATTAGATTCATAAGTCATTCTTACCAAAGCTTTACAACTTATCCTTTGGGATTACAAGTAATGATTTGTTTTATGAATCTAATTAGAAATCCGTTACACAACGTTTGTCATTATAATGAAATACACGAACTTATCGTCTCCTCAGATCACACAATTACTCAGATAAAGAATTAATTATTGGACATTTGGTCATGTTCCAAATTCGATCTTAAAGAGATTCCGTTCTTGTCTATCACAGGAATGGATTAGCTATTCACTTTTATATTATATTTGCTTTTCTCAATAAGAATTGTGAAGTGACAGAAAGTACGTACAAAATGACTATTTTTTATTTCGATTAAAAAAACTAATTTGTCTGATTATGACAACACGTTTTTCTGATTAAATACTAGTAAATCCTTGACCCTAAAAAGAGTAGGTCGTCATCTTTTGAAATAGATTACAAAATACTGCTATTTCGAAATATGTATTTCTGTGAACGAAGCAATAAGTGTTTCATAGCAACATAATAATAGCACGTGAAAGTCAAAAGGACTGGTCAAGGATCAGCTAGCAGAAAGGATCTTCGTGACTCTCGGTTGTTATCGTATTGAAAAGGGTTGTATCTTTCTTTCTTTCTTGTCTCTGTCTTTTTTAACCAGACTGATAAGGTGTTGATGTATAGCTTGAAGGACAAGAAACACAAACAAAACAATCTGTCAATTTGGTCTAGCAGACCACAATATTATCAAATAGTTTTTATAGGATTCTAAAATACCCATCGATTATGATTTAATAAATTTGTTCTACCTACATTTACATTTATCATGGGTTGCTATTAAGGGGACATGTTCGCATCCTTAGTTCCTTGGTCTAAAAAACTGAATTATTTTAGCTAAGCTAATCAATAGTAGTGTTCACAGTTGAAATTTGCGCATTCAAAGCCATACTTGTTCAGAATTATCTGAGCGTGAAAGATCTACATAGGGTTCATCGTGATTTTAAGTTGTTTAACTTTTATATTTGATATAATGTGATATCATGAACTATCGTCACTATTTGATGGTTTAATCACGACACGACAACTATGTTTTAAAGTCAGATCCAAGATAGCAAGGACTCTTCTCGTGAGTTCTTAACCAAACCAAAGAAGTACCTATAGGTATATTTAAAAAAAAACTTATTTGATGAAAGAAGTGTCAACAGACTTGGTTATTTTTTAATCAACCATTGATTTTCGTACTTTTATTCTGTACTTTTATTCTGGTCAATTATAAATGTCTTAATCTTTGTTTACATAATCTTTCTTCTTATTGAGTTTTAATGTTCTTTTATTTTGACTTTATGATAAAGAATCTTATAGTTATCTCATAAAAAAATCTTATTTCACAATATCGCTAAACTGGCCAACTGGCGGGTTTATGTTTTAACCATAAGATAATCACAGAATCTGAGGTAAATATGAATCTGAGGTACTACTTCTTGCAGAAGATGATAAATATCATAAAGATATCATTAGCTGTTAAGACATATACGCCGTGTTCCTGAAAGGGTATTTGCCTTTTTAAGGAGAGCAGCAAGAAAAACAAGTGCATTTCAAACGTTCATTATTGAATCAGTGGAACAATGAAAAACTATTTAAACGTTAGAAGTATGTCGACATGGTTGGATCGACATTAATTGTATTAATGGGAATTTAGATCGATTACATGTTATCATGACATTTGTTTGGTAAGATGGTTTTAATGTTGTTATCCGTTTATGATGATAGCCCGTTCACACCACAAGAAAAACAGTGTCCAGACTATCAAGTGTTAGATAAACATAAACATTTTATTGGCTATTCCAGATCAGCAAACAAAAACAGGAATAAATATCTGAGTTATGTATATCTCCAGAGTGGCAATTAGTAACTCCAGAAGTAAGAAATTTCTGAAATCCAGAGTATTTCTTATAACAAATTTGTCTGCCCAGTACCTCAGACGTGATATACGGATGATATAGGGGTTAAAAGTCAAATGTTTTATATCCCGACCCATTCCTCGCTATTTTTTTTTCAGTAAGACTGAAAGTGCTGTATCTACACCTAGATTTCAAAAGCTGGTTATTACTGGGTGATTTAAATGTTGTTATTTGTCAGAAAGAGGAAGACGTTAGATTCAGATTACAGGTTTTATTGCGATGATAATTAGTTTAATCTGTAAAATATAAAAAAAGCACTTGTCATCTTAGTGAATTTATCATGTGTCAGCTTCCTTGCTGAGATTTTATAATGAATATTTTATTGTTTTCTTGCTGAAATTTACAATATAAATGTTAACAATAAATTTACGACACGATGCTGTTTAAACTTAATAGGAAGCATAAATTAGCCAAAATGTCACTCTTTTCTCAGTTTTTCCAATATTGAGGTTGCTCTTTTATCAGGACTGGCTTCAATGCACCAAGTATATCACTTTGTATCTAGTAGTTAAAAGAGGTATCAAAGAAGGTTTCACAAACCTAATTCTCTTGATATTGAAACTAGTAAGAAGAATCAACATGGAACGTCATTTGAATGACTACACAATTTTAATTATATGTCCAAACCTTATGTTTTTTCCTAATTTTGACCCTTGAGGTTAATTAATGACAAATATTTATAATAATAATAAAATTAATTTATTAATTGTGTCACGAATCAGATACATAAATATAAAACATATATATAGATATAACAATAAGATTCCCGGCCAAAGTTGACCTATAGTTTTTATCTGTGTTGAACAAAAGTAAAATTATCTGATGAAATAAGGACATCATTTCAATAGTGCATTTGCAGACTCGGCATGATGATAGTATTTAAATTTTAAATAAACTGTGAAGTGATGTAAATATGATATTAATGGCTATCACAGTAATATGGTACATATAATATATACTAGTAGACAGTAAAGTGTTTTAATATATATGGACACTCAATTTTGGTTATTTAAATATAAAGCATATTTAGTGTTTCACATTCATTATCAAACCCACCTTACACATTTTGATATTTTTATGTATTTATTGGATATTTTTAACAATACTATTTGGATGTTTTCTTTATTTTAAACAAGTAAGTAATGATACTGATTTTCTATCCTTTACTATATTATATCCTGGTAAATAATCTCGTTGTTATTCATCCCTGTGTTGTAAATATTTGCTTTTTGTGTCCATGTAAATAAACCTGTTTGATATCAGTTCTCTGTCCGTTAACTTATCAATCTAAGCAAGGGAGATTGTGTTTAATTCGAGATGTTTTGAAGTGTGTAGACCAAATTTAGATTTGTCAGTTTCCTATATAATGTATTTGTCTGAAAAAGAGAATGCCTCATTATTCCCATTACTTCAGGTTTCCACCTGATTCCAGTATGATTTCACTTGAGACTCACTAATTGTTCATTTACAGTCCTATATATATACACAAACTTCCAACTCATTTCATTACTTGGTGTGAAGATAAATAAAAGTTTTTTTTATAAAAATCTAGCCAATGACAATGTGTTATACAGGATGAAATACGACCACACGGACGGAAAAGAATTTTTTTATAGATCTTCTGATGTATCGTATCCAATGGTGAGATAATGTGTGGGCTAAACATGTTAAAATGATATCTAGCTGTTTCATTTGTGTATGACATATTTCTAATATTACTACACTTGCTCTCCATGATCTGGCGACATTCTTCTTTAAATCGTGTTCTGTGGATTTTTGACACAAAAGCATTAAGAGCGTGTCCGTGAGAGCACCAGGCAGGAGGTGCTAAGGCTGTAGTCAGGGATTTGGACCAAATTTTGTATATAGGTAGGGGTAGTACCTAAACACTTAAATATATAATACCAGACTGATCACCCATTTCATAACGGTGAAAATTGAAAGAAAACTGTTTCGATGAGGGAAAATGACTATTTTCAGCCATTTTTCTATGAAAAGTTTGCACAATGACTACGCCCTTCCCTTTGATTAGATGAATTTGAAATTTCTACATGTTTTAGGATATGTTATCCTCTCACTACATGGCAAGTTTGGAATAGATTGCTCAACTGACACCTGAAAACTGACTAGGTACAAAACACAACGTGAAAATTATTATTTTTCATATGTTAGTTTTAACACCTTGTAGCACTCTCTTTGCAGGGGTGAGCAAGAAAGTATTGAGCTGCTTATGATCCTCTACCCCTCTACTATCAACATCAAAAATAAAATTTGTGGGAATGCATAAAAAGAGGACGGTAGACAGAACTGAATATCATGACTAAATATGTAAATATCTGAAATCGGGTGGTACAAAAAAAAAACGATAACTCTTTTCATTTCTGGATTATTCATCGGGTATCAAAGCTCAGACCATAATATTTTGTCCCTCATAATCATAGATATATAAAACATCTTTTCACAAAAAAGTACCCTCATATGTTAAAACACTTTGAATTGGCAGCATTTTTAAAATTCCTTGTCAATACTTTGTGCATAATCCCGATATGAAAAGTGTTATCGTTTTTTTAGTACCACCCGATATAATATCAAGCAGAGATTTTTTCAACTGCATACAATTCATTGACATTAAATCCGTGAATATCACATCGCGATCAATTTATTCATCCAAATCGGATATTATTCTACGTCGTAGGCGACGTCGTTCCAGCACCTGTTCTACAATATTACAGTCGTTATTTTCCACATCCATGGTTGTCGCAGGCTTATTTGATTCTGCATCTAGGTGTCCACATTTTTGCAAGGAGGCCAATCTTGAAAAGTAAGAGGCAATTTGTCTCGAATTCAACCAATCATCCTTGCTGAACTTAGACTGGATACGTTTGGCTACCGTCGCGGCATCTTCTTTTCTACCAGTGTGCACTCCAATCATAAATTGTTCCAAGAGAAAGTCTTTCAATTGTTTCGAATATTATGTTGAACGCTTTGTGGTGATCTTCAGGGCCCAACCCATAGGTAAATCAGGGCAACTACTTACAACGGATTTCGTTGAAGTACTCGCTGAAGCACTGACAGTGTATAGTACTTTCTTCTGTGCCGCAACCTCCGCAACACGACCTTGCCATTTTCGTTTAATTGAGTCAAACTTTGTGTCAAGTACAGGCGTCCTCTCATGTCTTCCGACAGATAAATGTCTTGTGAGTTCATTTTCTGTTCGAAACAGTTTCGAACAGCCCTCTTCTGAACAGGAGAAAAGTGTTTCAGTGGTACGATGCACAGCACCAGTAGATATTTGAGGAGTGGAATATTCCCCCATAGTGAACATTGGCCGCACATTACACTCATTATTCCGTAAGAGTTTATCATAACTGTGTAGTACTCCTTTTCCGATTCCAAACGCTTTCCAAACCCTTACACCATTTTCTTCATAAGTGAAATTGGTCATTGTAGTGATTCCAGTCCATGTGACGCGTTCACTTATTACTGTTTCATCAATGTTCATGACACTAACGCAGCAGCCGCGCACTCCGTTATACGACCTACATGCATCAAACATCTCAGATGCCGTTGTAACATTGTGGCCATCATTAATATATCGTTGGATATGTGCTTTTAATGAGGCGATTTTTCTGTCACAAGTATCCTTTCCAGCCTGAGCTTCAGAAAAATCATAAGCAGTGATAGTAACATTTTGACGTTTTGCAAGCGCAGCCATGGATAAAATTAACGGTGCACAATGGTAGCATCCGGCGTTGTCGCGTCTGACATACAGTTTGTTCACTTGAGGCACTAATTCTTTCATTTTTTCAATACTCGCTTCCAAGACACTTGTACACTATTCCAGTTTTGATTACATTTTTCGATTAAATGAACAAAACAGTATATATCAAAATCTCCATCAGACGATTTCACCACGAAAGCAGTAACATGCCAACTGATCCCCTTTTTTGCGAACCAATCTTGCTGGGATTCTCTGAATCGAGTGGGCAAAAACTTCATAGCCCAGTCCATTGTAATAAAACCTTCATTTTGAACTAACCGGTTCAAAATGTCATTTTTCGCCCGCTCTTGATTGATGGCACGCACGATATGCGCCCTGTAATTTAACACTGCACTTTTGGCATTTTGAAAGTCATAAATCAATTCTTCTTTTTGACCTTCGTATGAAAACTTCAATTGAGCAGCGGAGTAACCGCTCTCAATTTTTTCCAAAACTGAATGAATTTTCTCACAGTTTGAACAGCTCGTAGTGTGTTCATGATCACACTCTTGTTCCGACAGAGCATAGGTAATGCAATGACTGATACATTGCGAGGAGACTGATAAGTTCAATTTCATATCGGTTTTAAAATACAGTTCAGTTGAAGCGAGTGATTTCGTTATCTCATCCAACCATGCTGTGCTCAAACCGAGCTCCGAGAGGGTTTTCGAGATTTGTCTAAGCGTTGAAAAGCCTTCCGTTCCCTCAACTGCAAGAGAAACCTTCTTTGATGCAGCACAGACTTGAAGTATATTATACATAATAGTGCGTCCAAGTGGTTCAAAGTCAATCTCTTGACAGTAGGACTTGTACAGGTCTATAAGTCTAGATGCAATGACTGTACGTACCACATTTGGTATCTCTAATTTTTCTCCGTGACTTAACTTCATATTTTTTGTTCCATATGCCACGTCTTGTGTGTATTCAGGTCTTGAAATGAAATCCAAGAAATGGTCAACTTTTGTATCGTCCAGTCTTTTTCTTATTACAGGATGGCTCTCAACTGGTTGTGCGTGGCCAGCTTCCATGGCATGTTTTCTTGCCTGGTCGATCCTGTACTTTGTCAGACCCGGTATCAAATCCAATAGCGCTGACTTAGTATGGTTCTGAACAGATATTGACAAAATTTGGCGCTTTGTTTGCCAAGAGGAGGCTCGATTGTAGCAGTTTACAAGTTGTTCAAGGAGTCTATCATCCGAATCAATACCCGTCTTTTCTGATTTCATCACAATATCCATTAATTTTTCCTCCTGATTCGGGGCAATCAAATTCAACACAATTGATATAGTATCATGTGTTTTGTTTTTATAATACCGCATTGTTGAAGGAGCAATATCTTCGATAGGTTTTTTCAGCTGACCTCTAATCGGTTCTCTTCCAAAAGTTTTCAAAAATGCATTCAGAATACCAATTTCACTTCTAGCTGTAGCCGGTGTTGGAGCCCAGGACTTGTCACAAGAGAATGCATCTTCAAATGTTGCTATAGTCTCAGAATTCGATGGTGGATCTGAGCTACTACTATCCCCCTGATCTGATTCTGTATCTGTATCTGTGGGAAATGTGCTTCTGCAAACATAGGTGTTGAAGTCGAGGGCAATGGCGAGTTGAGTTCTGTAGGCATTGTCGTTAAACTTGTTGCAGATGGAATGGAAGGAGTTAGTGGCATTGAAGACAGTTGTGAAGATGCAACAGCACTATGCTGACTATAGCATGTTTTGCAGATGCCGGAACCAACTGGGACCAGAACATTCCATCGTTCATAAATTTCTTGTGATAAAGACAGCTTCACTCCCATTCGACTTGGTTTCATTTTTGCTAATCTTTGCTTATGAAGTGGGTGTGCACAACCTCTGGGTTTATTCCAGCATAATCCAAGTCTGTATCTATGTGCAGGGCAAACAGTCATAGATGCAATTGGTAAATCTGTCATAGAAAAATTACCAGTCCGGCACAAAATCAATTCATATTCACATGATATATTTTGTTTTGGGAGGTTTACTCGCCTCAAATGTCCAGAAATGTCCTTGTTACAGGATGTAAGTGGTATGATGGTCGTTTTATTACTGTATGCGGGGTGATTTCCGCATGAAATCATGGAGACAAACCGTGCAATCGAGCAGTTGGTAGTCATTTTGACGTTAATTTCTGTAAAGCGTAAGTCGAGTTCTCTCACCACAACAAAGGCTTTTGAAAGGTGTCACTGAGCAGATTAAATTCTTCTTTCAGAATGGCTATAACCTTTTGAACAGGTAATTTGTATCACAACTATATTAGTTCTCGAAGATTTGAGAAAGTCTTCATTCACATGAGAAAAATATGACTTAAAATTTCAAATTTTTTCTTTTTTTTAAGGGCCTCTTTCTATGCAGTGATCTGCGTTCCTCAATTTTTTTTGGCTGGCACTTTTAAGGCAACCATTGGTCTATTCGAACATCACATGCTAGTTGGTCTCAGCCTTGCAAAGACAGAGCTAGAGCTTATTTAGATTTGTATAGGAAAAGGCGTATGAAAAAGACCTATTTCAGAAAGTTCAGTAACATTACTACTGGACTAGTACTAGCAGCATACTTATGTTCGGGTGAAAGTGGACTAAATGATACATCATTCAAATCAAAAAATCAGACTGAGGGTATCAATTGTTATTCATACACTATGGGCGAAGTTTGGACAAAATGATCAAATATTACGATGATTTTTTCATGATAAAAGTGTATTCGATTTCTTCGCCTGTAAGGGGTCGGGGAATGAATCATTTCAGCATGTGACTCCTAGCACCTATGAGGTCTTATGACATGATTTTGGTAAAAATATTCCAACTTCCCACCTTAGCACTTTTCTTGATTTTTGCCTGGTGCTCTCGCGGACGCGTTCTTAACAGCTATCATAAGTTATAAACTCACTACTCAAAACCCTATCAAAAGAAAAGTCAAGTCAATGTTGAACAAATATCCCTTTATTCATCACATGTAGTAAGGGAATATTTTTTGGGACAGAGCATTGGTAGAATAATAAGTGATCTAGAACATGACACACATACCAATTTCTTGTGGGTCGTGGATGACAAGTTTAGCCGTTTTAACGTTGTAAAAAAGGTAACGAAGCATCAAGATTGGCACTCTGATCAGATTGCAGGTGAAAGTCAGTATAAATTTTTCAGGTTAGTCTGACGATTTTGGCCATAATTAGTGGCGTGTGTCGCGCGCGAAGGAGAGCATGCTTACTTTTTTCGAAACACCTGATGGTACTTCTCGTACGAGGGGTCCAATTCAATATTATCATTGCTCTCGATTTTGTCATGCTTTGGACACTTTTGGTTACTGGAATTTATTTGCTCGTACGGATTTTTATTAATAATATTAAAATCTCATTGAAACCCATTGACATATTGTCCTATCTTCTATCACGCGTAATATATATCTAACTCACTGTCTAATTTATTCTCAAGGGTTGACTGCTTAAAAGTGTTGTTGTGTTCAAAGTCTATGTTTTGCTTCATTTGTAGGGAAATTTTAAGAAATTGCTTTGAAATTGATGGATTTTAATTTAACAGAGTAAATGCAAACAAAATTCGGAATTGAAAAAAATGAGCTCTTGCGCTTTTTTAATAAGCCACATATTGAAAGTAGGAAAACAAGACGGCAGTGATCGAGTAAAAATATTGTTAAATCAATAATGTGTGAAGATTTAGTTCAATTTCCATTAATATGTCTCTATCATTATTGGGATTTTAGATTACATCAAGTCCTTTCTGTTAAGAAGGAAGCATGACAGGCAGATAAAATCCTTCAAATCTTATTCTCATATTAATCAATTTTCTACAAGTGTTTGGAGATACAAATAACTGTCAAAAGTAATTGATAGAAAGAATCTTCTTTGAGAGTAAAAAAATCTTATCTTAATGAAAGGAAAATGTTCTTCGATCGAGAAAGACTTGTGCGATGGAATAAACGATCTATTTCCACTTTACATGGTTTAAAGAATTTATCTTAGAAGAACATAAAAGAGTTAAGATAGTTTACTCGTCTAATGTTTCAAGAATTTCTTACGTTTTAAAACTTCCCTGTGTAAATAATTTAACTCTAATTCGTCATTGAGTTGGTTAATGTAGTTTATTATATCAATTGATATTGAACATTTTGTCATTCCTTGTAGGCTTTTGTTGTCTTAAAACCCAAGTATGAAGAATGAATCGTATTGCCTTCAATTTCTAGTTAGTTTTACAATCCAGATACGAAGAACTGTTGAAGGGATTAGATGGAGTAGGGGAAATTAAGTAAGTTTTTGAAGGTTTGAAATGTGCATTTGAAATATAGATGTTGAATATTTTGGTGAACAGGCACCTGTTTTGAATCACTTTCGTTTTTATACATATTTATTTTACCTGTGGGAGAGTTATCTCTTTCGCAACACCCAACTCGTTATTACTATGTTTTGAAAAAAGTAGCCGAACGGGCTTAAAATTGTGCAAACGTTTTTCAGGTCTGATTACGAACTTCATGGACGAACTCGGACAGGATTGAACGGAATATTGTTTCAGAACTTTGAGCCTGCTCGAAATTAGATAGAGTGACAACGTACTTAAAACGAGATGGATGTACTACGAACGGAAGTGTAGTACTTCGATCATACTAGGACGCGATTGGATCGGACGAAAATTGGTAGTACGTGTGCACACCGACCGGGTTTGTTTGTAGCACGTTCACAGATAGACTCAGTTCGACCGCATTAGTACGCTCTGCCCGGTTTGAGTACGTTCATTGCGTTCTTACGCAGTTTTAACAACGTTTTGTAGTACGATCAAAAAAATGTGTGGTAAATTACGGGCCGTTTTCTCACTGGGTGTATGTCCTAGTTTTCTTCTTTTTTGCTTCTGATCCTGTCCTCCATCTTTCTCCAACATCTGACTTTCTGATTTGAAGGTAGAGTCATCAAAGGGCGGAGGGGGAAACAACCGCCTCATCCTCTTTACTTCAGAAACGGGCTCAGGACGTGATTACGTTATGAACGGCCTAGTAAAAGACGAGGACGTACTCAGAACGACGTTGTCGAGTTACTAACTAGTTACAACTATTTGGACGTATTGAGAACTGTTTGTGAACTGTGATCGTATTACAGACATTTCCTGCTAAATCTAGGCGTTCTAGCCAGTTTACTACCCATTCTACTATTTTTATATGCCCACGTTATAATATTGTCGTATATTGTTGTCCGTGTCCGTCGGTCCGTCGGTCCGTCCGTCCACAATTGGCTTGTGAACACAATATAGACTAAAAATTTTATCCGATTTGAAAGAAATTTGGTGTGAGCGGTTTTTTAGTTAATGGCATTGACTAAGTAAAAATGATTTTAATGATATTTGGTGTGAGCATTAATAATGATGAGCTCTTGGTCAATTTGACTATTTTTCGGTAAACGGCTTTTTGGTTATTGCCCTTGATTTAGTAGAAACGCGTCAACATTTCTTTGTGAACACCATAGAAACTACGGTTTTGATTTTAATGATATTATTTGTGATCATTTATATTGAGGAAATATTGGTTGAGTTTGAATTTGGTGATTTTTCGATACACGGGTTTTGAGTAATTGCCGTTGATATATGCTTCAAAATTTGTTTGTGAACACAAAGGAGACTACATTTTTTTCTGATTTTAATGATACACTTAAATTATTTAAAATTCTATTTGTGAACGCGGTAGAGGCGACAGTTTGTATCTTTAAATCAATAATATCTTGGACAAGATTTGACACAGGTTGACAACCGTCCTTGATATACTGAAAATTTATCAGGGAAGTGGGCGTATCTTGCTAGGCAACCACTTGTTGTTCGACAGGATTGGACGTTCTGAGAAGTAGTTTGGTGTAACCTAGCCTTTAGTAAGGTTTAGATGACATGGTTGAATCAGATATAGGTTTAGATGGTATTTGGCTGAATAAGATATAGGTTTATATGGTATATGGTTGAGGAAGATGTAGGTTTAGATGTATATAGTGGAATAAAATGTAGGTTAAGATGCTACATGGTTGAAGAAGATGATATAGATTTATGATGGTATATGGTCAAATAAGATATAGGTTCATGTCATATATAGTTTAGTTAAATTTAAGTTTAAATGGCAAATGGTTGAATAAAATACAGATTTAAATAATATATGGTTGAATAAGATAAAGGTTTAGATTGTACATGGTTGCTTAAGATGCAGGTTTAGATGGTATATGGTTCAGTAAGATATATTAACATGGCATATTCTTGAAGAGGATATAGGTTTCGATGATATGTGGTTCAGTAAGATACATTCATATGGTACATGGTTGAATAGGATATAGGTTCAGATGATATATGGTTCAGTAAGTTATACTACGATGATATATGGTTGACTAAGATGTAGGGTTAGATGGTATATGGTTGAATAAGATGTGGGTTTAGATGGTTATGTGGTTGAATAAAATGAAGAATTTAGATAATGTATAGTTGAATAAAATTTAGAATAAGATGTAGTTTTATATGAATAAGATGTAAGTGTACAAAATGTCATGTCAATTTTTAGCCCATAACACTCTAGAATGTACATTTCTTGTTGGATTTTGACGAAACTTGGTGGGAGTTTTTGATATCAACCAAGAATAAACCATATCGAAAGAATCGAAAAATATTTTTTTGATATCGGTGAAGGGAGGGTTTTATTGTCCTAAATGTACAGGCCTTAGGTGGAACAGATTATTTAATTAGAAATTAGGATACTGGGTTTACTTCTGTTCTGTTCTGATTCTGATTCTGATCTGAAATTAGAAAAAATAACTCGCCCAAGAAAAATAGAGAAGTATAGAATCTGTTATGTACTGATTGTTTTTAGTCTACTATGGGGGAATTTCTCTTGAAGGCTCTTGTAGTGGGCATGAACTATCTTGCTTGCTCGATTGCTGGTTGTATTGAATGGACAACAAAGGGTGCTTTTGCCTACACTATGGTGAATATTTAGTCCTATAGGTCTTGCTGTAATCAATGTCTCAATCCAGTTGGCTTCCTTAGACGGAATTTGGTAGTTTCATCTTCGGGCAAGTCAATTTCTATGCGCTCAATTGTGTTTAGGGTGAGATCGTCTATTGAATGGTTGTCGAGGTTGAATGTTCACATGTTAGATGTTCCTGGATCAGGTACCTTTTATTCGTAGAGTTACTTAAAAAATAATGTGTTTCTGATATTAAGAGATATGTTTTGCATCTACTGGACAAACATGGAGCACTTCATAAACGTGGAGGTACTTCGGCATAAAGCCTGTTTTAGCTGTTATCTGTGCTAAGGTGGAATTTTTTTATGTACCTTAAAGACAGTGATATCGAGTAAGTATATTCTTTTGCGACTCACGTTTGCCGTTAGTTTGATGGAAGGATGGTGGTTATTGAGAATTTCAAAGAATTTCCAAAACTGTTGATAGAATAAGTCCAAACCATAAAAATGTCATCCAAAAAGTGGGTCAAATGGACAGAGGGGCAATACCTCACGTTCCCACTCTGCCATGAAAAGGTTTGCGTACAAAGAGGCGAATCGTTTGCCCATAACTGTCCCTGAAGTTTGTAAATATATTAAATGTGAAATCGTTTCGATTGAGTCAAATGCATCGTCGCGTCTGTTTGGATCTGGGTTTCTATTAAAAGCTTTACGAACTGCCGTTAAACCAGCAGTGTTATCGATTATAACGTCGATAGAAATTAAAATAACTTTAGAAGATTTTTTTTATTTTATTGAAAAAATCGGTTGTGTCTTTAAGGTAGGCGCGATGTTGACATGCTAGAGGTAGTAAGAGTTAAACCACTCCTTAGTTGGATTCTTAGGCAAAGTGTACAAATGTCTCTCACGACAATCAGGTTTGGCAGACAAGATAGTCATATTGTTTCTGTTTGAGATAACTAGTTTTGACTAAATCAGCAAGAATATAGTTAATCATATTAGCAGTTTCTTTGAAAATTGGTTTCGGTAAAATGGCATAATGTTTAGGATTATTTATTTAATTCTCTGCTTCTGAAACGTAATCCTCCCTATCCAGAATGACACATGAACCTTTGTCACTCTTTTTAATAACAATGCTATCGTCTTTCTTAAGTAAGTTTAACGCTTCACGTTCCACTCGTGTGGAAAAGTTCGCTGTTTGGCTATTCATACTCGCAAATGCTTTCAATATTTCAGGATGGATGGCGGCCTGAGGGGGTGTCAACGTGGATTTAGGAATAGACATTGTTCTAGCACCACGTGGGGGTGGTTTCGAAAAAAATATGTGCAGCTAAGATTTTGTTGAAATCGTTCAATGTATGGTCGGAGATAATTTAAGTTGGCTACCTTCGGTGTCGGAATAAAGTGAAATTCACGGTCTAAGATTGATTGTTGAAGGGGTGTTAGAATTTTGCGGCTCAAGTTAACAGTTTGGCCTAGTGGTGGCCTCTCAGTATTTTTTACTGTACTGCCAAATATTTTTTATTAAAATCAAAGCTGCCAGTGTATCACCTTGCCTGGCAAGCTATCTTTTCTAATTCGTGAAATTTTGGAAACATCTTCGAGAAATAATGCGAACAACTGTCTGAATGGTTATGAGGATGGCATGTCGAGGAATTATCAAAAATTATATCAAATAATTGGAGGCGATATTACTAGTATATTTTATATATCATATAGCATTTTCATCAAATTGCGCTTAACAGAGGTTTTTTTTTAGCTTTGTGCTAATGAAAATTGAAAACGTCAAATAAAAGCCTTCGTTTAAAATTTATGTTGAAGTTTAATATGTTAGTATGACAATAACCTGTCATAATACAAATACTTTAGTCTGGATAAAATGCCATTCAACTTTTTTTTTTTTTATTTTAATTTATGAATGGCTATTATTAATTATCACTCATTCTTAGACAATTTAGCCCTAGTTTTCATATTATATCTGATTTCAACAGCTGAATTCCACATTGACGATTATATTCAAGATGACTCTGGGAATAATATGTCAAATTTGTGAAACGTAAGAAAGAGCTATAAATAGATGCATGTTTTACTCTAGGCTGTTTTTAATAAGTTATTTCAATAGTTTAATTGTTTTTACATGCCATTTAATCGTTTATAAACCGTTTGTGTTTATTTTTGTGGTCGGTCATAACTATATACCTATGACGAACGAATTGTGATATTTGATAGTAATGTTTGTTTTATTTTGGATCTTACTGATCAACTAAATCATTATTATAATTATTGTTATTGTTTTGACGTCAAAAAAATATATATAGTGTCAACGGTAAATATCTCAATCGATAGCAATCATAATGAGACAAGGATTGTCGTAATAAAATCATTGTATAAAGGGAAGTAACTAAGGTTACAATTAGACCACAATTCATTTTTGAAGTGACTATGAGCCGAATTATACAACCTTAACCTTTTCTGGGAAGTGGGAGCTGGCCTTATACATTATTGTATGTATGTATGTACTCTTAGATCTGAGTAAAAACTAAATGATAATGGTTGACACATTTTTATAATAGGATTTTTTTATGAAGTTACTATTGAAGCAAGAGATGGTTATCGAAGCCTACATTATCGGTACTGTGCGATTGCAAAACTCAGATGTACAGGCTTGTTTGTAACTCTGGTAGTTTCTACCTCGCCATATTAATACAATGATCTCCGTAATCCGTAATCCAGCACTCTCCGTTTCTGTTGCAAACCCACAATCCAGGGTTTTAATCAAGATGCTGAATAGTGGGAAGAAGTTCAAATTTATCCCTTTTATTGGCAATTACAAAAAAAACACAATGACAAAACAATAAACGAGCATCAGCGAATTTTTGATTAAGGAATATGCATACAGTTAATTTAGAATAGGTTTTCTATTAGAGCGGAACGTTGAACTTCCACCACTAAATCACCTTTTAATTAATTCATCTGGCGGGGTATAAATATCGATTGTTCGGACATGTAATTCTGCATTTTTATACATTAAAATATTCATTTTGAATAATTCTTGATCAGGCGAAAATAGGATGTGCAATTTGATTGCATGAAATAATTATATTAATATTTACATTTTCTTCCAACATGATAAATATTTTTCACAAAAAAATGTATAACATTTGGGATTTTGTGCACATCGTGATAATTTAAGTGGATGTAAAAATGTATCACTTTGTTTATAATAATCTTTGAAACGCAATCGATCGGTTTTCCACAGATAAGTACCGGAAACTTTTACTATTTCGTTTTGTGGCACAATAGCATTAAATACTGTCGGTATAAAGATTTCTAAATGCATTCTACTATCAGTCCATAAATTGGCAATGAAAGCAAATTTCTCCATATGTTTCAATGGAACATAATAAAAATCTGAACATTCATAGAAGACCTTATCCTTTCCGCCAGCATTTTTGGCTAATGTTTGTAAGAAAGCATCGATTGTCTTTTTATATTTGGTATTTTCTTTGCTATATTCTTTTAGTTTATTTATGTGTAACTCTGTTGTGCGACCTCCAACAGTGTACATCCACGGTTTCCAAAATGGACCATCAGCAATATCAGTAACATTCTGCGAACCCAATTGAGCTACTCGCATATTTTTCTGAAACCAGAAACGATTTAAAGGTAAATGTTTGAGATTCCAAATGTTAAGTACCAAGTCATCCATTATAGAGAGTACGCCTTGGAACTTATAACCCATTTTGTAAGCTCTTTCCACACACCTGTAGGCAAACATTCCATGAAAGAAATCTGTGTCCAGAAAGGTAACATCCTTGTTTTTCAGATTGGGCAGCGTTAAAACAAAATCAGTCATATTTGATCCACAGTACAATCGTTGTGGGAAGTGTGATTTGTAAATTGTCTCTGTAGTATCTATAACTTTATAAAATCCAGGCATGTTGATATTAATAATTAGAAGAATGTCATTAAACACCATTTTACCACTTGGGACAGCGTCACAACCATTCTTAAACTTAGAACATGTTCCATTAAAAACTGTTTTGATATCTTTAACTGACGCTGGACCTCTTGATGGCCAAAATCTTGCAGCATTTATAGGTATCATTCCTTGTTTATTATAATTTCTACTAGGTTCTGTGTAGCCACTAATCGCTAATTGAGCCATCCATTTATAAATAAACTCAACTTGTTTTGCACTTAAAATATCCCTTTCTTTTAAATATTCACTCCAATCAATTAAACAAGTAAAAAATGTTAATTTATCATCACATTGCCAAGATTGAAGTAAAGATAATTGTGTATAAATATCAGAATTTAAAGGATAATGTAGGTATGATAATGAAGTTGATGATAATGGTGAATAATAAGTAATATAATTATCAAGTAATTCTAATAATTTACCAGTCCATATTGACAAAATATAAGGATGAATATCAAGAGGAATCAAAGCCCAGAATGTAGAATAAGAATATAATGTATTAACTTGATTAAAATATGGTAATGTTTTAGTAGAAACTGTAATGTGAGGTGCTTTATAATCTATATTACCCTTATCAGAAGTAGCTTTAAAAATAGTTTGTATCAATGATGTAGGATATTTACTGTACATATATTGTCTTTTATAATCAGATTTAGGATTAAAATCACGGGGTATAAAATGAAAGTCGACGGTGGATTTCGACGGTCCAGTATAAATCATACCAGAAGATTCTGGTTGAAAATTGAATTTCTGTAATATAGGGTTGATATCTTCTGTAATTGATGAGTAATAAATCCAGGATGTGCCATGTTCTATTGCTGTTAAAATACTGTTAATCTTAGACTCTACAGACCTGAAATTATAGCAATAGTTCTTATAAATATTTATGATTTATTCGGGGACTCGTGGAATCACTCTATTCTGTTAATTTGCCGGAAAGTATATGAGAAAACATTCGCCCGGTGACGTCAACATCATACTGGGTGAAATCAAAGTAAACCCAGAAAGTATATCGTAATAAAAAAATAAAGACTAGTGCTTTCAATTCAATTAACGTTATCAATCTTTGAACTGGGTTATGAAAACCGGGCTGTATTGTGTCGTGATCATTCTTTTCACAGAGGTCAGCGGGCGTAAGCCGTGACCAGTGTACATAAATATAAAGGCTTTATATACTCTATCTTCACCCTAATCTTCTAAGAGAATAAAATAAAATCAAAAAAATATAATACTTCAATTTCTGACAACCGACGGATTGATATACTTTCAAATGATTGAAACGGATTTAAACCGTATAAACCTTAAATTACCGTTCGTGATAAGCTTGATAGACTTGATGAATGCCTGCAAACTTCTTTATTTCACTGAATACTTCCATTGGTTGATTAAATAGTACACATAGTTCGTCTTCCTTTCTCGTGTACCTAATGAAATGGAATAAACATTTTCATTTAAATGAAAAAAAAATGCAGTTTTTCAAGAAAAATACTCAACATTGACATATTTCCTACCTGTTCACAAATTGATGATTTTGTCGTCACGGGCTCCATCGTGGCTCTGTTCATATTTGGCTACGAAAACTGATAAAAATTCTTTCTCATCGACCACAGACAGTGAATATATATAATTTAATTTATTATATTAAAATTGTTAAACATTTTGAACAGATCTATTCTTGACGGGATTTGTCAAGAGCAAGAGTTGCAACAAGTGAAATATGTCTGGCTTACCTTATGTGGTACAATCTGTTCGATTCAAGAGGTTCTTTAGTAAATCCACGAAAATGTTGAATGCAAATGAAACTCATTAACAATCCAATGATGAATTTATATCGAACCACCTTCTTGAAAATAGCCATAGTCTGAAAATTAATGAAAAGATCGATCACTCGCTGAATTTCAATTATCCTAAATAATAAAATTAATTCACCCCGATTTGATTTATATTAATCTATTACCCATTATTATTCAAAAGGAAATTTTAGGCATGTCAGGCATCTTAAAAAAATTGTACAAAAAATGTCCGACATGACCAAGTTTACGACCTCACCATTTTATAACTTGCGCTAATTCCAGGATCACTCACAGTTTATTACTTACATCACTGATAACATTTAACTTCTATACGTCTTTATCTTGGTTTCTGGACTGTTATGAATCTCTTAATCCGAGTATGAATAATAATCGATAAACTGTTAATAATTATCCGGACAGGTTTTCTGTTTTAATTTGACGAATATGTGTGTAGTGTAGTGTAGCACAGTTATTTCTGCTCATATAGGTCCAATTCAAAACACAACGAGTGGTCCATTATATTTTAAGGTAGTTTAAGCAGTAATCAACCTAATGTAAGTTCAGTCTGCATTGTTTCTAACACTATTAATTTTATTACTTTTTAATATAATAAAGTGTAGTGTGTGTGTTTTGTTTTGAATCGGACCTGGTAATAAAAAAAAACTTTGCTTGGTTATAGTTTCATTTTGCCTTAAGTTGCAAACCTTTCAGCTAATACCTTTGAAAACCATTCACTAATCACAGCTTCTGAAAATGTACGTGGATACTTCTCTTTAGGTGGATTCGTCAGGGACGAGTGCATACTTAAAACATGTTATTGTCCCCTCTGTCTAGATTATTGATTTTCTCACTGCTGGACTTTTCAACTCAATCCTACACCAGGTAAGATGCTACCCATTTTTGAAAGATTATATAGATAGACCCTTGTTAGTGAAGCAATTCTAAGAGGCTGACGCTTGCTAGATTCTATCCCGCCGGAGATAAAAGTTTGTGTGTCAAACTGCTTCCTCCAAGCATTTATTACTTTTAAGTATATCGAAGATAAAGGAAACTCACACGTATAGTTACGAAAGTTGATATTTCAAATTTAACGAATTAACAATAAAAAAGATCACCCTTCGTGCAGTTCCATTGAATAGGCTTAAGATTTTTATTCTGACCCCTTTAGGTTACTTCGATTAAGAGTAAAGAGGTTTTCTAAATTTTCTATGTGTATCGGGCAATTACCTAGGTGATAATCATATTCACCTAGATGCAAATTAGGTGATATGTCCTGTAATTTTGAATAAAAAACTTTAATTTTCACCTAGGTGAAAATGATTATCACCTAATTCCTGTAATTTTGAATTAAAAACTTTAATTATCACCTAGGTAATGATTATTTTCACCTTGGTGAAAATGAGGTGATAATTCCTTTAATTTTTAGTTAAAAACTTTATTTTCCACCTAGGTGATAATTCAACGAATATTGTAAAGAACGGCGAAAAAAGTTTTTAATTCAAAATTACAGTAATGATCACTTAATGTTCGCCTAATTTTCACCTAGGTGAAAATAATTATCACCAAGTAAAAAAAGGGTTTTGAATTCAAAATAAAAAGTGGAAAATGTCGTATGTGAGACACCGTAGTATTGTAAACAAAATAGTTCTTATTAGTTCTCAACATGTTTTGTTTACTATTTCTATAGCGCTCTAAAATTGATCTACTGAGCACTATTTTAACACTGAAAATATTTTATAATTGTAATTTACAGATTTGGATAAAATTGATCAATCTAGTTGTTTAATAAAAATTTATAGTACTTACTATTAGAAATAAAATGTGCTTGTACGTACCTTTTACGCTCTACATGTATCCGTCGTGCCTATGGAATGAAATGTAATTAGTGACTCTATTCAACTTCATAATTAATCCATTAATTAATCCAATTGTCTACATTAATACATAATTAATGACACCGTTCTACTCTAAGTTGTATCCGTAGCAACAAATGTTACACTAATTATAAATCTCTCTTTAAGGAGAGTAAATTCGATATAACCCAAACTACTTAAAAAAATATCTGACACAGACAAGACCAGAACAAGGTAAGAGATATACAATTTTTCAGACGTTAGTTTTGACCCCGAACAAATTTATATTTATGAGATAAGAAGGTTTTGTTGGGCTCAGGTCGTACCTTGGAAGAGAGAAATAACAGTCAGTTTCAATACAAGATCCTTTTTTACACAGCATAAAATACGGAATGAATCCTCAAAGGAGAATATTATCATTTCCCTTTACCAGTTACCATATGCTTCGGCAATCCGATTTCTGAAACTAGGGCGTGATTGGTCAAACGGATGCTGAACCTACCATTTGAAGGGACAGTCTGATTAATTGAAAAGGATGAGAAAGTCCGGTGCTTAAATTAACCAAAACCTAGACAAATCTGGAGAAATGTATCCGCTTTTCTTATCTGAATGTTTGAACTAAAAGTATATTGCCGTTTATTTTAACATAAACCGTTTTAATGTTTTCGTTTGTGTTGGATGTGTACCTTATCGTGTGATTAATATATCTATCTTTATTTTCAGACGATGGCGTCTTTCAAGAAACTAGTTCGATATAAGTATATTGTTGGTTTATTAATCGGTCTAATTTGTATCCAGTATTCTTTGCGATTTATACAGGTACCAGAAAGTTCCAAAACTAAAATACATCGTGGGTAAGTGAAGCGGAAACCAATCTGCATAGAAACACGTTTCTTTTTCATATCTTAATTACTCTTACGTATCCATCCAAAGAAAAAACAGTCTCCCTTCTTTTGCAAAATATCACTAATTCTAAGATAAACCAAATGTCAATGACAAAATAATACACTTATACACTAATATATTGGCATGTTAACAATCGTAGAGACAATCCTGCAAAAGATATAATTATGCGTGTCCACATCGAAACCAACTTTTTTAGCGACTTTTATAGGCTACAGTGATTCATATATTTGTCAATCCATAGAAACACCATTCTTGTTCCAAGTAAGAAGTAGTTGGCCAACATCGTCGCTGTTATGTTAAAATTTATATCAGCCTGGTCTCCTTCTTTATTTCGACACGATTCAAATTGCTGAAATGAATTCTAGGAATGTACAGGAATTTACAAGGATATGACTTTTCGAATATGGAATGCCAATAAAAATAATGATTTTGATACAGTGTAAACTTTGATAATATATTATCGGTATAGTTTGTATTTTAGACGAAGATATGTAAGGACTACAGACGAACTTTACGTTATTTATGACCAGCCTTCTAAAATAGTAAATAAAGAATTGAAAAAGGTTCAAGGAATGCACAATGCTTTCTACATACATCAGGATCGGTAAGTTGATCTATTTATATTACTATAAGTCAACATTTTGTTTCTTTTCGCTACAGGATTTCTTTCTATCATATGGTCCAGCTGAAAAATTTTAAAGCCACAATCTTTTCATCACGATAAGCAGGTTAATTGTGTATTTACTTTATACTGGAGAATAATCAAGAACCATTAAATAGGAGAGTAATAAGACGCCTTTTTTGGCCAAATAACTCTCTCACCATGCCAAGCACAGTTCTGTGAAGCTTTACGCAATTATGCTAGATAGTTGAGGACATGTTTGCAGTTTGAGCATATTTCGTTGAAAGCACAATATGAAGTTTGCAGTAGCCAGACAATTCCTCTCCTCAGTATTTTATTTAGTAGTCGTTGACTTGAGAATAAATAAAAGGAGTTCTTATCATTAATTTAGAAAGAAATGGCATGATTGTTGGGATATTATTAAGTTGTGATCATTAATAATTCAATCATAAATCGTTTCCATCTGCTATTAAAACTCTCTTGATTTCTGACCGCTCCATTGTAAAATATTCATTTTAGAAATAATGAAATTGGAAATCTTTTGATAAAATAATACGTGGGTTGGTGAAAGCTTGGTTGTCGCTCCACACCCAACAAGCACATTTTACTCCTTCACGTTTAAAGATTACAAAACAATACGACGAATTGAATTAAGTGTAATTTCTAAAGTTTTTAAATGTAACAATACATAGTCAATATTTTACACATGGAGCCATACCTACCTATTTAATAATGTTATCAGGAAGTTGGCATAGTTTTGATCTAATTTCAGGTCTGTAGAGTCTAAGATTAACAGTATTTTAACAGCAATAGAACATGGCACATCCTGGATTTATTACTCATCAATTACAGAAGATATTAACCCTATATTACAGAAATTCAATTTTCAACCAGAATCTTCTGGTATGATTTATACTGGACCCTCGAAATCCACCGTCGACTTTCATTTTATACCCCGTGATTTTAATCCTAAATCTGATTATAAAAGACAATATATGTACAGTAAATATCCTACATCATTGATACAAACTATTTTTAAAGCTACTTCTGATAAGGGTAATATAGATTATAAAGCACCTCACATTACAGTTTCTACTAAAACATTACCATATTTTAATCAAGTTAATACATTATATTCTTATTCTACATTCTGGGCTTTGATTCCTCTTGATATTCATCCTTATATTTTGTCAATATGGACTGGTAAATTATTAGAATTACTTGATAATTATATTACTTATTATTCACCATTATCATCAACTTCATTATCATACCTACATTATCCTTTAAATTCTGATATTTATACACAATTATCTTTACTTCAATCTTGGCAATGTGATGATAAATTAACATTTTTTACTTGTTTAATTGATTGGAGTGAATATTTAAAAGAAAGGGATATTTTAAGTGCAAAACAAGTTGAGTTTATTTATAAATGGATGGCTCAATTAGCGATTAGTGGCTACACAGAACCTAGTAGAAATTATAATAAACACAAAACTGAACATATGCATGAAATGGTGTTCTGGCCATCAAAAGGAAACACACAAAAACCGAAATCTGAAAAACAGATTCTGACCGGACAGTGTTCTCAAATGAAAAAGTGCAATGAGAAGATAAAGAAATCAACTAAAGATTTTGATATTTTATTAATGGTTATTTTTAATAGACATGGTTTCTTTAATCAAATTGATCATTTAGAAACTATCTATAGACCACATTTCTCACAAATACTTTACTGTTCTTCAAATATGACTGACTTTAGAGCAAGTTTTAAATCGTTACAACACAAGGAAATCTCATTTGTAGATGCCAAGATACATCTTGGTCATATTGGACAGTTTTGTATCAGGATAGCTATGGCATTGGGATACAATGTCAAAGGTTATTTACATTTAGGCGATGATGTTGTATTGAATATGTGGAATTTGGAATCCCTGCCATTAGATAAATTCTGGTATCAGGAAGACATGAAAGTGGCTAATATTAATCAGGATCAAGTTCCAAGTGTCTGGAAGGGTGATTGGATTCCTTGGAATAATTATTACAGCAGACCTTATGTTAGAAAATTGTTTCCAAGACTATATAATATGGCCAAAACTAATCAAAGAGTTAATAAATTTATGCAACAATTGATGAAAAATACTGGCGGTAAAAATCGTCTTGTGTACCAGGCGTCAGATATTGCATATATACCCGCCAAATATGTTAATAGCAATATATACTTCACAGATTTATTGGGCATGTGTTATAATGAAATTGCCACACCTACGATCATGAATGGATTAGTTGATAAAAAGGAGATCGTAAGACTACCTGGAAAATATGTCTGGCATGAAGAAAGAAAATTCAAAAATTATAACAAATTCTTTCAAAGAAATCATATCTATATTCACCCTTTGAAATATAAATCTTGTACCCCAGAAAAAGAGCCATTGTGTGTGGAATTTTATTGTAATCGTTATATTTCATGTTGGTTTAATTATTAAATGATATTTTTTAGTTTATCAATTTGTTGTACTGTTCTAAATATGGATGTATCAAAGTTATTCTTTAGTTAACAAATTGGCCGTAGTGAAAAATACTCATTGCAAACTTTGGAAAAACTCAAAACTGGCTCAAGAGATGAAATTTCGTGACTAAATTCAACTGTGGTATTTTGTGATAAGAAAAATGTCGGATTAAATCATTTTGGCCTCGTGGATTCAAACTATTTTAATTTTGTAAACTGATATTCTTAAGTATATTTTATCTGCAGTAGATAGATTTATGAAAATTTCTGTCTTAATATGACATTTCAAAAGCATGCCCACCGCAACATCCATTCTGGACAATATTCTAGTTCTTAATTCATCTCATGTTTGACCTGTCGGAAACCCAATTCCATTATGACAGCCCGAGAAATAGGACATAATCTGAAGAAATTGTCCTATTCATTGACACATTCAATCAACTTAATACTCTGTTCAATAACAGACATATCGACTGGTGTGGAGAATTCAAATTCTGAAATGTTCCACTTTTAACAGGATCTTAACAGTAAGCATCTCTTATGACAACATTTGTCACAAATAAATTCGACTCAACAAGATTTTTTCAGAGTAATTTCCTCATATCATGTCTGGGGGAGTTATCCACATTTACATTTTGTGGGTTGCCACTAAAAATCAGACACAGTTTCACAAGGGCCAGAAATCAAAATAACTGTGTAGTGTAATCAGGTGTGTTTTTACCTTGTTAACTATATCAACATTAAATAGAGCATATATTAATTTGTTTCCCTTCATGTCGGATCAGAAAACTGACAACGAATGAATTTAAAAACCCATAATCCGAGATTTGGGGATTGTTTAGAATCTTTGAATAGAATACTTCGTTGAATAAAGATATTAATTCGCCTAGGGTGTTTTTGATAGGATTTAAAAAATCATAAATACAACACTCATTCAGTCCAAAACACTCGTAAACACTATCTAGAAGACTCAATTCTTGACGGATTTTGAAGAAACTTGGTGCAAGTTGTTATCAGCAAAGGATGATCCCTTTGAAAATAAAAATATGGAAAAATATTTTACATGAGTTATCATTGCTCATAACCACTCTAGAAGACACTATTCTGGCCTTTTTGACAAAACTTTGCAATCCTGTTCATTATCACCCAAAAATGTTCGAATAAATGAAGGTTGATACTGTACTGCCAAATATCTTTATTTAAAATCAAAGCTTCCAACGGCGTATATTACTTTGCTTGGCAAGCATATCTTTGTGGTTTTAGATCTGAGTTGTCCATCGGTGTTAATAATAACCATTTCATCAAGATTCCTAAAAAAAATAAACTGTACCCAGGCCCGTAGTCAGACTGTTCGGATTGGCAAGTAAGACTTATCGGGAGGAGAAATGCTGTATGGTGTTTAGTTGCAGTACTGATCGGTTGTCAGAATTTTTTCGGTGAGGCAGTATATTTTTCCGGGGGAGAACCGACATGATCGTGCAATCTTAGATCGAGTTCTAATCTAATTGTAAGAGCAACAAGAGTCTATGTTAATGAATAATTGTATTATGTCAACTATGTTACAGCATAGAATGTAATGATAAAAATATACAAAATATCAAGTATCATCGTGCTCTGTTTCTTTTACTTCATTTTCTACATCTTCTTCTTCCTCCTTCTGTTTCTTCATTTTAGAAATCAATTCTGAAAATATATGAAAAAAAAACTTGAAAATAATCTGTTAAATTTTATAATTGTATTGATTGCTTTTACATTAGATAAGAATAGAAATATGCATTTAGAAAATTGAAATTTGACAGTTGTCACTTCTATAGCTATATAGATAACATGTTTGAGCATGGGACTGCTTATGAAGTTTCAAAACCCAAAATATCTTTTTAAACAATTTACTTGAATCTACTGTTTGTACAGTGTATAAATTCACTGGGAAATATGAACTTGTCAAGGTCAATGGTCAAGTGAAGCCAGTCAGAACTAATTTGTCATGTTGACCTTGACAGTGGTTATGGCTTATACCTCTATGTGTCCTTGTATTGTATTTAGTTATCAAAAGGATGGACTACATTCATACTTTCAGGGCAACCCTTAATTCTATTCATCAAGAATTGATAGCCATTGTAGACTTTATCTGTTTACCTACCATTAACTACAATGAACCCAATACTTTTTATTCCATTCACTGGACAGATATAAAGAAAGAATTGTGAGGCAGTTTCCTTTTGTATGATCGTCTATTTCTAATGTCAACTTCATCCCCATTGTCCAAACTCATCCTTTCAATAAAAAAAAGTACCTTTAGCTGGGTTGAATACTCCATTAGTTTGTTCATTACAAACAAAACATCGTTTACTTTTTCTATAGTGATTTAAAGCACATTTCTCACAAAAATAATGTTTACATCTGAAATTAAAGCATGTTTACATCAAAATAGCATGGCAATAAAAATAAATGATGAATCTTATTTAAATGCTCAGCAAGTTTTTTTTACTTCAAAATATTTTTGTGTATTTGATACTGTTTTATCTAGGAATTATTTTTGTATTCAACCTTATTCTGACCCATGTAAAAACCAATGGTGTATATTATTATTATACCCTTTGTCAAAATATAACAATACTCATAAGAAACAGTATGAAACAACTTGAAAATAACAAAAACTTATACAAAACTTTTTAGAATATTGGTCATGTATGAAAGATGGGTTTCCTCAATTTTTAGAGTCAAATTAAGCAAACTATTGACAAGCTAAAAATTTAACAGGTTCTCAAGAACAAAGCAATAACTCATGCTAAATATTTGTCGATGTTGCTGTCGGTTCGTCAACATTTCTTGTGAACACAATAGTTTTCAACTGATTTTAATTAAATTTTTTGTGATCATTTATATTGAGAAAATCTTGGAAAAGTTAGAACTTGATCATTTTTCGATGAACGGTTTTTGAGTTATAGCCCTTGGCATAGATAAAATGCTTTAAAATTTGTTTATGAGCACAATAGAGACTACAGATTTGGTTTTTATGAAATGTGGTGTGATGATTTGTATTAAGGAATGAAATGAAATGAATGGAGTTTTACGTCTTTTTATTTATATTGATGAGATCTGGGTCAAGTTTCAAACAATTTCTCTCTTAACAATTTTTTGCCCTTGATATTAGAGCTGTGGGATTTAATAATTTGATGTTTTTGGATTATTTATTGATTTTAAGAATATTTTGTAGAATTACTCAGCAGAAATAACTATCAGTCAATATATATATCATTGAATTCAAACTAATACAATTTCTTTAATATGAGAAAATTCTTACTATAGTCACTAAAGACTGTTTTATCATTTCTGACAGCTGCCAGTGGGCGTATGTTACCTTGCCTGGCAAGCTATCTTTCTGTCAATAGGGTTCATCCTTGGGTGATAAAAAAAACATTCATACTAAGTTAAATAGGTCATAAATTGTGCCTTCTAGACTGTTAACGAGCTTTTGTGGACTGATGAAAGGACAAACATGGGTGACGACAATATATGCCCCCCCATTTCATATGGGCGTATAAAAAGACTTTTTGACCTTTTTTGATTGGTCACTCATTAGAATTCTGCTGGTAATTCTCCTCTAATATAGCTAGTTATGAACTAATTATGGACACATGAGACAAAATCTCAAGTCATTAGAACACCTCTACTTTCTATTCATATAAGTAAACATTGTAACAATAGCAACAATACATAACAAAACATTTGTTCCAACTTTGCTGGCAGATTATACGAATTAATTAAGTCTTAATCTGCATTAGTCAGATTATGGCAGATATGAAGTCACACATTGTTAGAGACAAGAGTTTACTAATTAGCTGATATTCACATAACTTAAGATGAATGTTTGTGATACCAATTCACATGTCAAAATATAAAATATAAAGTGTGTGAACACTATTTGTGAAGCATGTATATAACAACGGATATATTATTTCATCACTACTTGCATCATAGGGAATATACAAGTGATTGTACGATTTTTTCCAAATAGACGTGGTGGTCAGAACCTCTACTACCAGGGTCATGAATTCAATGTGCACTGAAGATGTTTGTTGCAAGTCCACCTGCCCTGCAACTACAAACACTTTCACTGGAATGATAACAACTTCCTGAGATACCAACAACCTCATGATGGTCGATATAGTTATCATTTGAAATAAGACCTACCAACTTCGACCGCAGTCAGTCAATTCATCTGCATTTAATCCTTTGTTTGTGGATTATCTTGGAAGATTACCTTAATTACCATAGAAATTCTATAAGACTTAATTAAACTGTATAATCTGTCAGAAAAGTGGGAACACTCCAACAAAACTACTTAGGCCAAACTAAAGAATTAGAAAATGGTAGATTAGCTAGAAATGTATATATTATGTTATATAATCATGATCATTAAGGTAGAATTGGGTTACTATTTTTAAATATTTAGACAATGGTTTATTATATGTGTGGGAAAAATAAAGTGTTGATAACATTGAAATTTTTATATAAAACAAACAGATTTTCATTTCCTGTTATTTATGTCCTTTCTTTGAGGTTTTACTGTAAAAAATTCCTCATCTCTTCAGGATTTCAACAATATTTCAGAAAATTTATTGATTATAGATGAACTATTAAAGTAATATTTTTCTCATTCAAACTAGGTAAAAAATAATCTTTATAATGTATTGTTATAATATAAATTTTTCAACAGTATATATTGTATGAATTGATTATTCACTATGTTTGTATCGTATATTCTATTGTAATATGGATTTTGACCAAAAACGAAATAAACTGTTATATTATGTTGTTAATGATCTGGAATCATTTATCAACATCTTCAATATTGGATTATTTTGCAAGACATAACATATACTATTTAGAGCATAAATAAAATAATGATCAATATTGGATAATATGAAAGATTGATTAACATAATATCAATAAATAATAAAGTCATACTTACTTTGTAATAATAGGATCAGTGAAGTATTTACGACAAATAAAACATTTAAATGGTAACTCGTCTTCATCACTGCTTATTTCATAATTCTCATTTTCTATTAAAAAAATATTCAATATAATATTTTCCATTAAAAAAAATACATGGTTTTTGTACAATTTAATTGACATTTCTGTAAAAAAAAATACATTGCATTTATACAATATAAGTTTCTGTTAATAGTCCAATAAAAGATATTGTTAATATAATTCTATTTTCTGTGTATAGTAAAAGATTTTGTTAAAATAATATAGTTCTATTTTCTGTATATAGTAATAGATATTGTTAATATAATATAATTCTATTTTCAATAAATAGTAATAGATATTGTTAATATAATATAATTTTGTTTTCTGTATATAGTAATAGATATTGTTAATATAATATAATTTTGTTTTCTGTATATAGTAATAGATATTGTTAATATAATATAATTCTATTTTCTGTATATAGTAATAGATATTGTTAATATAATATAATTCTATTTTCTGTATATAGTAATAGATATTGTTAATATAATATAGATCTATTTTCAATAAATAGTAATAGATATTGTTAATATAATATAATTCTATTTTCTGTATATAGTAATAGATATTGTTAATATAATATAGATCTATTTTCAATAAATAGTAATAGATATTGTTAATATAATATAATTTTGTTTTCTGTATATAGTAATAGATATTGTTAATATAACATAATTCTATTTTCTGTATATAGTAATAGATATTGTTAATATAATATAGTTCTATTTTCTGTATATAGTAATAGATATTGTTAATATAATATAATTCTATTTTCAATAAATAGTAATAGATATTGTTAATATAATATAATTCTATATTCTGTAAACAGTAATAGATATTGTTAATATAATATAATTTTGTTTTCTGTATATAGTAATAGATATTGTTAATATAATATAATTCTATTTTCAATAAATAGTAATAGATATTGTTAATATAATATAATTTTGTTTTCTGTATATAGTAATAGATATTGTTAATATAATATAATTCTATTTTCAATAAATAGTAATAGATATTAATATAATATAATTTTGTTTTCTGTATATAGTAATAGATATTGTTAATATAATATAATTCTATATTCTGTAAACAGTAATAGATATTGTTAATATAATATAATTCTATTTTCAATAAATAGTAATAGATATTGTTAATATAATATAATTTTGTTTTCTGTATATAGTAATAGATATTGTTAATATAATATAATTCTATATTCTGTAAACAGTAATAGATATTGTTAATATAATATAATTCTATTTTCAATAAATAGTAATAGATATTGTTAATATAATATAATTTTGTTTTCTGTATATAGTAATAGATATTGTTAATATAATATTATTCTATATTCTGTAAACAGTAATAGATATTGTTAATATAATATAATTTTGTTTTCTGTATATAGTAATAGATATTGTTAATATAATATAATTCTATTTTCTGTAAACAGTAATAGATATTGTTAATATAATATAATTCTGTTTTCTGTATATAGTAATAGATATTGTTGATATAATATAATTCTGTTTTCTGTATATAGTAATAGATATTGTTAATATAATATAGTTCTATTTTCTGTATATAGTAATAGATATTGTTAATACAATATAATTCTATTTTCTGTATATAGTAAAAGATTTTGTTAATATAATATAATTCTATATTCTGTAAACAGTAATAGATATTGTTAATATAATATAATTCTATTTTCAATAAATAGTAATAGATATTGTTAATATAATATAATTTTGTTTTCTGTATATAGTAATAGATATTGTTAATATAATATTATTCTATATTCTGTAAACAGTAATAGATGTTGTTAATATAATTCTGTTTTCTGTATATAGTAATAGATATTGTTAATATAATATAATTCTGTTTTGTTTTCTGTATATAGTAATAGATATTGTTAATATAATATAATTCTGTTTTCTGTATATAGTAATAGATATTGTTAATATAATATAATTCTATTTTCTGATAGATATTGTTCAGCCAGGAAGAATGACATTAGATTGATGGTTAATCATTTCCTTTTCTAATAAATGACTATGATTTTCTCATTTATTCAATAGCATTTTATGAAAATATTACATTGGAGAGATCATATTCATATTCATTTTGTTGGAAAAAATTAAGCATTAGTCATGAAACATCAAATAACGTAAAGAAGAAAGAGCACAGAATGTCAAGTTTGGTATTTAATGTTTGGTGGGATAAAATTTGTGCTCTGGTTAAATTGATCCTTTTGTAGCTTTCATACCAAATAAACTTTTATTTTCAGTTGATACAGTGCATTAATCAAGATCAATGAGACAGACACAAAATAAGTACAATAGATCACTTTAAATAGAATGGGTCCTAAGGCCACAAAACTTCTACATATTAAATTACCACCACGCCTCTGACCTCAGAGAGGCAATGATATGCAAACCCAGATCAAATAGTGCAAATTGCAATCATATAAGACCTTGCAATATACATAAGCACAAAGATTTTGACTATAGACTATCTCAAATGTAGTCATTAGAGAATCAAGAGCAATGATAAGAATCTGGGAATAAAAACTGATCATTCAAAAACCAAAAAATTGTGCAATTGCTAATCCATCTAACTTGAACCCTACATGATAGCTGTGAATTTTGAGCTGATTGTGAACTATCAGCTTGATATGAGTTAAAAAATCAAAATTATGATGTATATATTTACAGAACAATGATTGTTATTCCATACATCCAACCATACATGATATAATTATGAACCCATACAATAAACACTGAAAAATGCATCTGGATATCATTATGACCCAATACAATAAACACTGAAAACTGCATCTTGATATCATTATGAACCCATACAATAAACAATGAAAATTGTATCTTGATATCATTTTGACCCAATACAATAAACACTGAAAACTGTATCTTGATATCATTATGACTATGGCTGTAACGGTTTGCCGATGAATCGATTCTTTCCTTCTTAGCGATGCATTGCGTTGGATAATAATAAATCGTATCGTTGGATGAGTATCGTATAGTGTAAAAAATCGCATCTTCGAGAATCGTTGCAGCCCTAATGCTGACAAATTGATGACACCTGTCAAGTCAATAGTCTTATCACATGATAAAGCAGAGTTTACTTTCCCAAAAAGATTTCAAGATCCACATTCTATAAATAGATATAATAAAATCTTACCATGCTGTCCATATCTACCTTCATCCATTTCTCTTTCTAGTTGCCAGCCATGTTTGTAGTCACTTCTATCATGTAAAAATTTACAACTGTCTGAAAGCAAATACAGGTCAATCTTTGAATTAAATATAGTCGAAATTTAACCAGATGTGATGTTGATCAAATTCATCAGTCAAAAAATTTCAGTTCCAAAATTCTTAATGTTAAAGGACTAATACCTCTTAAAATAAACATAAATTTTAATTGTATAATCCGAGTAAGACCATAAAGCTTTTTTAAAATTTATGAGGGTTTATCAATAATTACTAAGTTTAATGGGTTTTTACCCTAAGTACTTAGGATTATTCTGTATAAGTTTATAACAGGTAAGTCTAGTGATGAATATACACTTTTAAGTTAATTATAAGAGGTAATATTCATCAAAACTGATTCAGAATGGTTTTTTTCTCATATACTTATTGAAATAAAATTTATTGAAGTTTAGCAGCAGTGATTTAATATCCCTATATAACACACAGCTTGATTTCACTTTAATTGATGCAAATTTGCATAAATTTAAAGCAAAAATGTTTTCTTGGAAAAGTGATATTCAAATCCTGCACATTAGGAAAAAAAATGAAATACCATACCTCCAAAACCACAGAAACCAGTTTCTTTGTAATCTTTACATATATCAGGTTGATAATCCCATCTAACAGTGGCTCTTAAATTAGCTGGTGCACGTATTGGACCTTTTCTGTTATAAATAAAGATAAACAAAGTTTAATGAAATGATTAAAACAAAAAGATTGTCAATTAGATTTTGAAGAAAGATGATAACTCTTTACTTGGTTGTTACAAAGTTACAGGACTCTGAAATGATCTTCATTTTATATCATTGTGAACAAAGCTCACTGAAAATTAAATTTTACCTTGTTCTAAAAGACAATTGATAGAGGACCAGGGGGCCACACATACAACAAATATAGTAAACTTTAATAGAGGATAGATAGAATTAAATATGGCGAGAAAGACACGAAAAATATTTCATTCATTCACATCAAATAAAGCCTGATACTTCATCGAACACCATATACATGCAAAAAACTATTTCATTTTGTTTTTCAGCTTGAAATGATGTACACTTAATATTCATATAACAATATAGAAACATTTTAAAATATGTAATAAACTTCATTCAAATTCGACCATGGTATAAAACTGTAATAGTCAATGAACTAAAGAACATACCTGACCATACCACTAGCAGCATTACCTTGTGCTGTATCTTTCTTCTCATAATACTGAGCATAATTATTCATACCTCTATAGATCTTATCATCTTCTTTACCTTTTAGTTCCTAAAACGAAGTATTATAATAATTACTTAAAATGTCTGAAAGCAATGTAAGAGACAAAACTTTACAACTTATTGCAGGGTGTTCTTCGAACAAAATCGTTGACATTTAATCGATAATGTATTTTGATGATTGATAATCGAAATCAAAATTTCAACATTTCGAAAAATTTGATTATTTTACCCAGCCCTAACTATCCTACATAATTCTTAAGAATTTGACTGTATACGAAGAAAATAAATGAATGCTTTTTACAAGAATGAAAATAATTTACCTTATTAACATCTAATGAGCGTTGAAATATTGCTTGTGGATCCATGTTTAATTCTGTATCAATCTCTACTATAGCTGTGGCACCAGAATCTTCAGGACCTTCTCTTTTCTGAACATAAATAAAACAATGTCAAGTTAGGAACTCCATGTTAAGACATAGACACGAAAAAGAACAGTCCTAGTCAAGATGATATAAGCTTATTACTGATGTGATCATCGGTAGTTTTCTTTTTCAATTAAAATTTCAAATAACAATCAAAATAATAATGTGTTTACTGACCCCAGTCCTACTGGATTTATAGGATAGAGATATCTTAGATTGTTCTTCTTCACTGGAACTGCTGTATTCTTCCTTATCAAATAATTTACTTCTTTTTGTCTACAAATACAAATAACAATAGATTATCATGTTTAAAATCCTGCAACAAAAACATACTGTGCTAATTTATACTTGCTTCACTGGCAGTCATGCCCAATGATGACATTATGATAAAGCATGCAGGAACCTGAAGCACTAGTATATAGGATTAATTTTAAATTTTAAATTTAAGGAAAATTGATAAATATCTCTTATAACACCCCAAAAAAACATCTGTGTCAACTATTAAGTTACTTGTAAGAAATGTGTAGATGATCTTATCTGGTAAAAATTTGATGATATTCATGATAACTACTGACCTTATATATCACGATATGGCAATATTTCAGTATTTTTTGATCAGGCAATATTACTTGAGATATAAATTCCTATACGGGTATGTATCGTGATACCAGTTTATCTCCCTGTCCTAATTATATAACAATCTAGACTTGCTAAAAACAAAAATACCCATAATGAATTTTTTCTTCAATTAACACAAACCCATGAGCATGCTACTTACAGATTGAACCATATGATTCTTTTTTCTTTTGCTATTATTGATGACAACAGCAACATTTCCTTCATCACTGTTATCATTGTCTGAAAAAGGTATCAAACAAACTCAAAGAGGTCTCGTAATCAACGAATCTTGATAAGGATGTCATATACATGTGTGTAGCAAAATCACCATTTTTCTAAATCTTTTCTGACCATTAGAGACATAACTTTGTAATGATGGTAAAGATAAGGTAAATAGGTTGTCTAAAATTTGTATGTACATAGGGAACAGTTAGCATCGATTTGCACCATTCCCATTTTCAATCAGATGTCTGGGGTTCCACTAGAACTAAGGTAAGATGTCACTAATCACACAGGACCTTATGTGATAAAGCAATTTTCGCAATTAGTGCCATCATCAAACACTTATTATTGTGGAATTGCAAGAATCACAGAAGTCTGACTTATTCTATATATACCAAAAAAAAAAACCTCATCTACTGAACTATTTGTACTTTTATCTGTATAAACGTTCAAATTGAATTCTTGTCTGGTTACATGGTTAGTTCTCAAGTAATGCTGTAACCTTCAGTTATGTTTTTCTATGTTGAAGAATACTGTCTAACTACATTGAACTTTGAATTCAAATTTTTCTCTCATTTCATAAATATTCAAACTAAAATTTTCAACTGTATGTCATTTGTCTTAGAATGTGTTTGGATCCATAGAAATATTAGGTTCATTGATATAACATTTAATAAATTAATTCCCTCCCAGATAATTCACCTGAAAAATACCTACTTTTCGGCCTGAAAATTCCCCTCTATAAAATCATGTTTACAAAATATATTTTTTCCCATGGTTTACATTTGCATCAACACAAAGACAATCTAAGTCTCTCTGTAGTATTTTGTAATTGATATTTCAATTCCTACGGAAATATTTGCCAAAATTCAATTCAGAAAACAGTGTTGTCAGAGAGTAGTATAAGGTTTTATAAGAGAAACTCTCTTATAGAAGCACTGGCCTAAGTCACAAGTAGGAACTGTGGATTTCAGCATTGGAATACATCAATTTGATAGAAAATTACCTACTTTTGGAGAGATTACCCAGATAAACAAATAATTCAGAAATGCAAAGCGATTGTTTCTGGGAGTTAATGAAAGGGGATCTAATCTACCATGGACAGAACATTACATTTTTATCAGATTTTTATTCCT